TAAAATTTTAAGTAATTATAAAAAACAACAACAAAAAAAATTTTAGCAAGCAAATTTGCCTGCATTACGGTTTAAGAAATAACATGTTTTTTGAATCTCTGTGAACCCTACAACTTTTTTTTTGCAATCTAATTGGCCAATTTGCTAAAATTAGAGTTATGATTAGTTGATAATTACGTGTAATTATGCTATAATTATCTACAAACTTAAACAGTCACTCCTGTTAATTGCTACTAGCATATCTAATTCTCTAATTCTGTACTAATGCTGATCACATCGATAAGATTAATACTGGTCATTAGTTGTGTCTATAAAGCTGTTAACAATCTTCTAAATTTTTTATAGAACACATGATTTGTAGCATATGTTTTATTGATCAACATGAAATATATATTTTTTATATATATTATTTTTTTTATTAATTTTTAATATATTTTTTTTAAAAAGGTTTACAGAACAAATGGTTAATCTTTTAAAGCTATTTGAAGAAATTACAAGACACATTTGTAGATTGAAGTATCCTACTTTGAACCTTGTATATCTCTATATTAGAACTTTAAAAAATAATTTTGTGCCTAAAGTTGAAAATGAGAAATTATTCAAGGCTTGGATTAATCTAATTTACGGTACAGAAGATTCGGATACTGGTACTAATTCAAGCCTTAGTAGTGATAATGAAGCTGATATACCATCAGCAGAAAATTGGTGACAATGGCAATATGCACATCAAAGATTACATCGTAATAAAGGTCATGTAAGCTATAAAAAAAAAAAAAAAAAAAAAACATTTTCAGAATTAGAAGATTCTAATACTATAGAATATTTAGCACCTGTAAATTGTTCTGGGCTTCTATAAAAAGCACAGGCTGCTATTTTTTTGTCAATTGATAAATTATAAAATTCATCTAATATAATAGGTTTAAAAGCTTCTATTTTAGACTCTTGAGCACTAAATTACTTCTATTTGCTACAGATCAAGAGCAGGAAAAAACTGAAGCCCAAATTCATGCTGAATTATTATTACCTAAAACTTAAGTAAATGTTTCAAGTAATCTTGAAGTAGAAAGAAGCCTGGTAACTATTAATGAAGATCCTTAGGATTTCTAAGTGCTGAGTTGTGGAGATTATTGTCAATGCCCAATAATGTTACCAAAGATGAATTTACACAGTACATGAAAGAACCACTAGCTCATAAAATCAAAATTCTTTAAGATGGTGAAAAGATAGACATGTAAACTTTCTACTTCTTAGTCAACTCGCCCGTAAATATTTGTCTATCTCTGCTACATCAGTTCTATCAGAATGCTTATTTTCTGATGCGAATATTCATATTTCTGCTAAAAGAACTCGCCTTGATTCTAATTTAGTAGATAAAATGCTGTTTTTAAAAAGAAACTCAAATTACCATACCATGTTTCTACTAGATAATAAATAATTCATCCTTATTTGTTTTTTTAACCCGTAAACCTATTCTAAAGAATCAAAACTTTATTTAGCAAAATACATATAGCTTCATAATTTTTTTTATTATACATATATATGCCTAGTAATATTAATAAAAAAATATTGCTCAAATTAAACAATTCTAAAAACGAATAATAAAAAAGCAAACATAAATAGCTTTATAAATTTAATATAGTATAATGCTATTAATTGTTGTTATACTTACTAAATATTAAAAAAATACTGATATGATGCCCCACTAGCTATACAACTACAAAGCATACAAACTTGTTTAAAAGCTAAACGTATAAATAAACATATTAATCACGAAGAAATTAATACACATATACCATTGACTAAACACATTACCTGAAGTATCGTTTATATCAAAATTCATGATATTGCAAAATGTAATTTTTGACAATATTGCTTTATAATAAAAATTTCAAATATTTAGTTATATAAATCTTACTGAAGACAATATATAACTAACAAAAGGTTTAAGTAGTTAAAAATTGCTGCTTCATGTTAATGCAAAGGTAATATTGAACTGTACTAGTATATATATATGTATATACGTAAGTAGTCTTTTTGTAATATGTAACACCAACTAGATTATAATTTAATCCAGATCTTTATAATTAAATCTGGATCTTATAATTAAATCTAGATCTTATAACTAGATCCAGATCTTATTATTAGGATTCAGATTTTATGATTAGGATCTGTATTTTATTATTATGATCCAAATCTTATAATTAGAATCCGGATCTAGGTATCAACTCTATACTTTACAAACTATCACCTGTTATTTGTAGCAATCTCAAACTACTAATTCAGATAGCTTGAAAAAACTATAACCTGCTCTTGGTCCCCATGATTAGATCTTTTTCCTCCAGTTACTCTTCTGATAGCCTGGTTAATGGAGTGTCTTGCCAAATATTTCGGTCCTATTTAGTTTTTACTATTTCACCAATGACAATTCTTTACATAGTACTATTAAAGATCTGTGCTACTTCTCTATTCAGGTTTTACTAAGCAAGTACTCTACTGCTATATTAACCTTGTGGCTTTCTGCAATACTAGTATATACTCATATAGCTTTTTTATTATACAAATATCTAGAATCTTCTAGTTTTGATAAATTGGTATGACTACAGTTACTAGATCTCAAATTTTTCTAGCTATAATGATAGTTGCCGAATCTGTTTTTCCTAATTCAATTTTCATCTTCAGTTGGAATTGAACTTGTACTTAACTACTTGGGGTATGACAACTTCACCACTTCACTAAGTCGATACACTCTATATTAGGGGGCTTCCAGAAATCAGCTGATTTTGGGTAGGTGGGTGGGTCAGCCAGTGTATCAGGTATAATTCTGGCCAGAATTATCAAGTTTTGGCAAAAATTAAAAAATATTTTTAAGCCAAATTATAAACTTGTTAATAATTAATTATAAATTTTTAATTATTAATAACTTT